ATCCGTGTGTGTGTGGATCCATACTGCTGCTGAAGATTTTGTGACCCTGAGAAATCTCATGCTGGAGAGAGACAACCCATGTGAGATGTTGGGATCCGTGTGTGTGTGTGGATCTGTGCTAGACAAGGACTGTTCTCCCATGGGGAGGGACCTCCATAGGGAAACACGGGTGAACTCTTAAGCCATTATCCCCTGTAACCCTGTGGAAGAAGATCCATAGTAAGCAAGTGTCCCCTTGCAAGCCTATGGAAGGAAGACCCTTCGGGACCTGGGTAACCCCCAGCCTTCAGTCTTAGCCCAGGACGGGGGTAGGCCCAGCCCTGGAAGCCAACACAGAGCGAGAAAGAGAGAGAAAACGTTCCAGCTGCAATGAGAATACTGCTGCTACTGAAGATCTATTACTAGAGAGAGCGGGCTGGAACTCTGAAAATAGAGAATGAGACTACTTCTTCTCCTTGGACTAGTATAAAAGGGGAAGAAGTATTTCTGTAAATATATAGCACTTCAACTTGAGTGAAATTGTTGTAGATATAGTTCTTTAGTTTTTAATTTATTAGCAGTTTTTCTTTTACTAGTAATAAATGTTTATACTATTTTCCCCAAATCCTCTCTCTTTTGTCTGCAAAAACCTTCTCTCAACTAGTAGTAATTGTGTGGGGGGTGGAAAGCAAATTGACCCAGAGCAAAACCATGACACTTCCTTATGAGACATGATTTAAAAACATTTGATAAAACACATATTGTGTTAAATGTATATTAACAAGATCATAGAATGATAAAAGTGCTTAGGTTGAAAGGCTTCTCAAAGACCACCCAGTTTCAATCCCTCTCCCATGGGCACAGGCACCTTCCACTGGATCAGATTGTTCAAAGCCCCATCTAACCTCAGGACAGGATAACAGATCCATTACTGCTCATCACAAGAAAATTGCAAAAGAATAAACTCCTTAAGAAAACAGTTAAGTTTCTTCTCAAAATAACTTTTGTCAGTGGACATTTTCTAGGTGTTACTGGGTTCTCAGTCTTTCACCAAAGAATGCTGATGAGAATATGGGTAAATACAAAATTTGCAGAATTACTAAGATATCTTTGTTTACTTTTCTCTTAGCCCAGCAAGGACACAGATAGTACAATACTTTCTTTTATTTTTTTTTGTTTTGTTTTTTTGTTTTTTTGTTTTTTGTTTTGTTTAGAGGTGTTTAGGAGCAGACATTGATCAGGTAGCTCCTTCATTCTGATCAGAAATTTTTATTTCACTGGTTCAGATTTTCATGAGAATGCACACAGCTCATGCATTTTCTGGTCCTAAAGAGAAAAAGACTGGTGGCTCACTTAGCATATTCACTCAGCTGCTTTAAGATCCCTCCTGAGGTCAAGGTTACTATACCATGCTGCAGGTGGATCACTGCATACTAGCAGTTTGGAAACTCCATCCCACAGATCCTACTTGTCAATAGTAGTTGAAAGAACATTAAAAAAATATAGTTAAACAGCTGCATTGCCAGCAGACCATTTTCAAAAAAGCAAAGAAATGATTTATTTTTACTCTTGAAGTGAAATTCCTTATACTCTTTGATATACACATGTTGCCAGGCTTTCTCAGTCATCACTCTAATATAAGAAATAGAGAATGCAAATGAAATATTTCTCCATATACATAACTTTGAAATATTTTTATGCAAATAATCCAAATTTTACCAAGCAATTACTTTCCTTGTGATGCACAGAAATATCAAAACACTATGAACAATGAAAGAAAAAATGTTTCCAATTCTTGGGAGTTTAAAAACATTAACCTTCCTTCTAGATGACAAATCCTTTGGTCATTGTACTGTGCTTTGGACTCTTACGTTGGTGTAATTCTCCTAAAAAGCATTCAAAAGATGCTGCCAAATATAATGTTCTCATCCTGTCAATAAACTGCTATAAATAAGCTGCTCTCCCAGGTGCAGCATTAACTTATTCTTTCTCATTACATTAACTTAATTCATTTTACATTAACTTAATTCAAAGTTAAAAAATTCTAACTGTCTTACAGACCCTGCACAATTCCTCTACCTGACCAAAGATCTGTATCTCTTCCATCCTGAAGCTACTGCAGGTACCAAAGACACATATCAATGCATTTTCCTGCCTTTTTTCTTTTCTGTGTTTTTTTTTTTATACAGAACATCACAGAATCATAGAATGGTTTGAGTTGGAAGGGACTTTAAAGCTCGTCTCTTTATACAGAACATCACAGAATCATAGACTGGTTTGAGTTGGAAGGGACCTTAAAGCTCGTCTTGTTCCAACATCCCCATCATGGGCACAGGCACCTTCCATTACACCAGGTTGCTCTGAGTCCCATCTGACCTGTCCTTGAACATGCCCAGGGATGGGGCATCCATAACCTCTCTGGGCAACCCCTTCCAATGCCTCACTACACTTCTAGTGAAGAATTTCTTCCTTATCTAAATTTGATGCCTTCTGACCCTTCTTCAAACTCTGGGCATCTCTTGTTGGCACTGGCATCAAACTATTAGGAGTGGGATACACTGAGGTTACCCCCCTGCCCTGCAAATTTTAGTTTAAACCCTGTCTGCAGCCTGTAAAGGAAGTCCCCTTTCAAATCATTCCTTAAGACCTTTTTCCCTTGCAGCAGTATTCATAAGGAGTCATAAAAGTGACAAATGGCAAAGGAGAACTTTAACTATGAACAGTTAAAATAGCTGAACAATTACACAACAAATGCAAGTAACCAATGAGATCAGATTATCGTTTTATTATCATTATATTATCATAAACTCATCCTTTCCAACCTTTGTAACTGCTGTTTATTATGCTTTCCACTGGCCAGAACATAAATCTCTTGAGAATAACACTAACTTTTTGTACACTTTTCATAAATCACACATTATATTTTGCACAAATTTACATATGTAAAAATTGAATACCCTGTTGTTGGTCAGACCTTGCTCCCTTTTCTCTTTGCCTTTAAATATTTAGCAGCAAAAAAAAAAAAATATATATTGTATGGATGTAAGTATAT